GGAACCATCTCCAACCCCTTCCTCATCTCCCTTGTCACGACTCTCGTCAACGTTCTATCAACGCCTATCTCGTTCTATACTATTGAGAAATTCGGTCGCCGTGCTCTACTAATAACGGGTGCTTCCGGTATGATCGTATCTCAGTTCATTGTCGGCGCCGTCGGTGTCACCCAAGGAACCGTGGCAGCCAACAACAGCGCCGCTGTTTCGGCCATGGTCGCTTTCATCTGCATCAACATCGCTTTCTTCGCCACCACCTGGGGACCTACCGCTTGGGTCGTTGTCGGTGAGGCGTTCCCTCTACCCATCCGATCTCGTGGTGTTGGTATCTCCACCGCGTCCAACTGGTTCTGGAACACCATTATTGCCGTCATTACGCCTTACCTGGTTGGTGAGCACGAGGCCAACCTGGGAGCCAAGGTGTTCTTCCTGTGGGGATCCCTCTGCTGTCTCTCTCTTGCCTTCGCATACTTCCTCGTCCCCGAACTCAAGGGTCTCTCGCTCGAGCAGGCCGACATGTGCATGCAGGAGGTCAGCCCGCGCCACTCGGCCCACTGGAAGCCGAGCCACACCTTCGCGGCGGAGATGCACCACGTAGATGACAACAAGAACCTGGTCAACGATACCGTCGAGGAGAAGGTTTAAGGGGGCATGCTGTGTCTCCTTTCCTCTCCTTTTTATGTATACCCCGGCAGTGTTGCGATATTGCCGTCAGTTAGCTGTGACGCCTATCATTTACTTTGCGTTACGAAGAAGCGGTTGCCCGGGTCGGGGTTTTTAGAGACTAGGCCACTTGCATGTAAAGAAAGAAGGGGGAGGGAAGAAACAATCCGTTAGACAGCAAGATGCATCATCTGCCGCTCGTCTGTACCTAGCTACCTAATCACCATATGATACCTCAGAAATATCGCTGATGATTTTCTATACCGACATCTCTGTGATCTAAAATACACTGTCCCGCACTTTTACGAGCTATGCAATCCACGCCTTGCAGTAGTATCGAGCAAAGCTCACATATTCATGGTTATCGATAGGAAAATCCCAATTGTGGCGAACACTAAGTCGGATGTCGTACGACTAGAAGATGTCGATTCGCTGCTTTTAGGAAGCAATCTAATGGAGCAGCTAATTTTATGTGTTTCCCCTTTGCTTTGAAATAGTAGTCTTGGTTTTTGAAATGGCACGATGTTACCCATCCAATCCCGGATACCTGGCTCATTCGAAGGCATCGCAGATCAATATGTGATGTGTTAATTATTGCCTTTTCGCGCCATGTAGTGGTCGGGCAGAGACAGTCTTGGGGTTGCTGACGAAACTTTACTTGTCTCGCCACGACCATCACTCGGAAACAAACCCAGGTGGGTGGCGTCGCGGGAACCGAAACAGGCTGAGGTCCTTAGGTCAAATGTAGAAGATAGGGGTAATAAACAAGAGCGTCTACGGCTCCCAATTTCGGATTTTTCGTATTTCGCACCAACATTCCGGGATTTTATTTGCACTTTCATCACTTGCAGCTTGTGGGGCTTGTATGCGTTACACGGCATCCCTAGCGGCGGACGGGAACGGCAGGTATCCCCTTCGTGTCACTGCGACCGCTTCCGAAAATGCGCCCCGACAGCTGAGGTTGGTTCTTTTCTTGGTGAGCTTACTGGACAACTAAGTAAGTAGCAGTCAACGAGAAAGTTCGACGCCGATGAGTGGGTGGTACCTAATTGAGAGAATCCAAAATAGTTGAACTAGTGGTTCCTTCGCCCCCACGGGGTCGGTGGGGCTAGGGTCTCCTTATCGTAGGGCTGAAGGGGCTTACTTGTTTTGGTAAGGTAAAAGGGGTGTGTTCATCTTGGGACGTATCCATCTAAGCTAGGTGTTGATCTGGTTTCCTCCAGATCGTTGTCGCCAGATACTGCGTCACGACTATGCCACTTTTTGTTAGCGGTACTGAATGTAGGATCGATAGAGAGTATCTAAGTACCTAAGATTTTTCTTAGCTAGCTATATGGCTATGATTATCTCAACATTGGACTCAACGACGTATATAAGAATTTGTCACTGCCAGAGAATGACTTCACAAAAAGAAAGCCTCCTATGAAGTTGAACATGATCGCTGTACTTGGATCCTGAGAGTCTGGCATAAAGTAAGACTTGATCGGAGATAACTGGCCGTCATTAAGAATTGGTCTGAGTAGGAAGGACTTCCTATGCGACCAAGATGGACTTATACTTATCATGTCCACATTACACGCCTTCCAAGCGACACTGTGCTCTGGCGTCATGTCCTGGAAAAGCTTCCCGACGGGTGCAAGACCTGCGAGAAAAAGCGCCAACGCGAAAGCTGTAGAACTACGTCGGAATTGCAGAGCGGGGTCCCATATAGAAGATATAACAGCCTGCAAGGCACGTCTCCACGGCAGTTGTTGGTTCGAATCGTCGAAACAGTCATAGCTGAGCATGAGCGTTCGTATCGCCGCGAGAATTTCCAAGGTAGTTCGGCTCTGTTGGCGGCGGGTTCCCGGGGTCTTGGGATCTTGGATGTATTCGTTAAGACTGTCTACCCACACCTGGGGGTGCTCTGCCTTGTACATGGGCTCCAAGGCACAAAACAAGGATTCGTATTGCGGCCAAGGACTTCCGCCTTCGAAGATAACGTCCCAGAAAACATCTCGAGGCGTCTTATCGCGTTGAACATCAAGTTGGTTAATCCAGGACCACGAATCAGAGACTAGACCCAGTAAGCCGTACACCCTATCAATCGGCTTCGTGCTTTGGCAGTGCTGGAACCCACATAGCAGCTCCAATAGCGTCTTCTTGCCTTGAGTTCGCATGGTATGAATGCCTAGTATAGAAGGAATTGTGTGTGGCAACCCAGCGTTATGATGTACCCAGATCGCTTTATCAAGGAACTGCTCCAAGTCCATCGATGACTTCCCCGCGATAACCGTCCCTTTCCGAGCCGAGGCGACTTCCTGGATAACCCAGACTCGGTTCCAGTAGGCAACGGACGTGATGAGTCGGTATGCCTCTATGGTATCTTTTCCTGGTGCGTTCGGGGGCTGCCAGTCGGAAAGGTGCTCCAGCGCGTCTTGACCTTGAGTATCGTACCCCAGGCACAAGAGAACCCTTTCAGCCTTCGAGTAGATCTGACCCATCACAGGCAGCTGCGCGCAAATCTCCACGCCATCTCTCTGGTTCAAGCTTAGGCAATCTGTCCAGAAGTAGTCGAACATGGAACTCTCCCACAGGAGGTTGAGCAACCGCCAGAGGTTCTCGTGGATGCCGCAGAGCTTCCCGCCGAGGTAGACGTGTCGAGTCAACTTCGGGTCACCCCAGCAGTATGACAAGGCTTGATAAGCCGGTATGTTTCGATGCACCCGGCTGAACGTACTGATGCTGCAGGCGAAATGACCGTCATCTGTCAGCTCCGGCTCTAAGCTGAGGAGCCTTATCATGTACCGGTTTCTAAGCGGCTCATACTGAAATCCATCTTCATTGGCAGTAGGCCGCCTAAAGAGGCGTTTGACAATACTGATTCTCCAAGCAGACGCCATATACAATAGCCATATGTGTAACGTGTAACAGTGAGGAAACGGCCCCACTAAGACCTACATAACCTAGGAAGTAAGACGGATCCATAGCGGGGTACAGCATTAGTGATTATTGCCAGGTACTATGAGGTACCACATCTTGTTGCCTGCCGTGGTCGTCTGTCAGTTCAGGTGCCTCCCATTGTATAAGAAATGGTATAACGACGTGGTGTTGAACAGAAGCTAACAAGGTCGCCGCCCTGGATACTTCAGAGTTTTAGAACACTCTCTCCTCGACGCCAGCATGGAGCCGAAGAAGTGGGTTATGTTAGGTGCGGAACTACCCGCTCACTCCCTAGAAAAATATATGCCGCTAATTATCGACCGTAGAAAACCACCCCGAGGTGATGAACCAGCTTGCCGCGAAGCTGGGTCTATCGTCCGAGCTAGCTTTCTACGATGTCTGGTCGCTCGACGAACCCGAACTGCTAGCCCACATCCCCCGTCCCGCCATGGCGCTCCTGGTCATCTTACCTCTCACCCCTGCCTGGGACCGGGACCGCCGAGCCGAGGACGCGGAGAAGAGCGATTACGAAGGTTCGGGCCCCGATGAGCCTGTCATCTGGTTCAAACAGACCATCGGAAACGCATGCGGGTCAATCGGCCTCCTGCACTGCGCCATCAATGGCGAAGCTGCCGGTTGCATCCAGCCGGGCTCTGACCTGGAGCAGATCCGCCGCGCTGCCATCCCCCTCAAGATGAAGGAGCGGGCTGATCTGCTCTACAATAGCGCACCCTTTGAAGCAGCCCACAAGTCGTGTGTCCAGCTCGGAGATACAGTCGCAAGCAGCGATGGCCACTCGGGCCAGCATTTTGTTGCTTTTGTCAAGGCCGGTGGCCACCTGTGGGAGTTGGAGGGATCGAGGAAGGGGCCGCTGGATCGAGGTGCACTGGGAGACGATGAGGATGTTCTGAGCCCGAGGGCACTCGACTTGGGTTTCAGGAGAGTGATTAAGCTCGAGCAGGAGGCCGAAGGGGCAGATTTGCGGTTCAGTTGTATTGCTCTGTCTCGTAAGGTGTAGGCGTCCTGTGGTCCTTAGCATTAGAGTTATGCGAAACCGTGAAACACCTGTCTTCATTCGTCAAAAAGTCCCATAAAGGGTATGCTGAAAAGTTAGGGACTTACACTTAGTTACAGTTGACTAGCATGTCTGCCCCGGCAAAATATTTATATAGCTTGTGGACGAAATTGGCCTTTCGTATGTATCATGTGATTAAATTAGACCTCTAGTGAATATCAATTCAAAAGGTTTCTCGGTTTCACACGCAATATATGCCGAAATCAGCCTTTGAACCAGTATCCATTCTAATCATCCAGTCACTACCTAATCTATAATTTGTAACCCCTGCCGGTAGTTTAATAATACACGATAGATGTCAAACGAACCAACCAAGCCTCTGTACTACCGGCGCATGTAGGCACCCATGGAGCAGAAGTTTAACTCATTCCCCTCCCATTCAATGTGTTAAGGGAAAGACCCGGGTGCAAATCCCGGTGGGTGTAGTTTTTTTTTTTTTTTTTTTTTTCCTTCTTTAGGAAGATGTGTTTGCTTGGTCCCGTCGCTCGCCCCACCCCTTACGATCTAATATTATACTTAAACACTTTCACTGAGTCAGCTCTAGTACACCCAATGGCTGTTGAAATCTCAATAAAACATCTACTTAGATAGCACGTGACACTTTGACATCTGACACGGCGCATGAGGTGAACACCCATCTTATATGCTCCCATGAAGAATCTTCTTGGTTCAAAATCTACGCCTCTAACTTTGAGGTCTGACATTTTATATCTTGCAAGGCCTTTACTCTCTAATTAGGAGTATCCATCTAAGTTTCTAGTGTTTTCCCTTGCTATATGGCTAGATATCCCTTCAATACCTATTTATTATATGAATACCTGCAGCTTACCCCATATAGGAAGCGTCGAATAGTTCTAGTCAAAACATGGGGGTTTGCCATAAGTACCACTACCTCATTCATGATGAGAAAAGTGGCTGTTATCTATCTACAACACTGCATCGAGGGATACATACAAGTCTCTTTCAAAACGGTCCACTATGAAAACAACCGTATCTTTGAGGGATATCAGGATCATGTTAAAACAGAACCTGCTTATCTGTCTAGAAAGAAACTGGGCAATGAATGGCAAACAGATGGCCACCCGGAGAACCGAGCCCCCGAGCCTAACAATACACATTGCCCTACTTACCTAAGGTATCAAGGTAATCAAGGATAGTAACTGCTTTGGTCCGATGCCGACTTCGATCCACACGCACTGAGTGGCACGATATGCTAGCCTATGCAAGACTGCACCCACAGTAGTTTTCGGGTTGGTTGTTTAGATCAGTGGCTTCAAAAGCATTGGGCGTCTCTTGATAGCAACGGCGATAACAGCTCGAGACATTGCTCTGGTAAGATGATCGTCCAGTCTCATCTCGGGGATCGCCGGTAGAGGCGTAGAAAAAAGGGGTCACAACGTCCATGCAAACTGCTGCAAACCGTGGAGCGGGAACACGTGGGATAAGCAGTATGGCTCCTGGGTGGCGTAGACGTGAAGTCGGAATGTCGTCGCCCGGGCTCGGCTGCGGCTCAAGCGAGGGTTGCTGAAAAAGGTGAAGATCATCGATAGATCATCTGTTACTCGAGGACTGCATTCTCCAATGAAGTTCTCAAGAAGGCCTCAGCTGAGCTTGGTTGCATACGGGCCCGGGGGCCGGCAAGACACAAACAATATTGGTGAGAAGTCCAGGGAGGTCTAGGCCGCTAGATCGGCCTCCGTCAGAACAACGTAATTTCTATGTCATCGCTCGTTTGGTCGTTGTTCGTCGTTCGTCTGGTGTCTGTGTTTCTCTTGCAACGGTAGATAAAGTGCGCTGCTAAGGAATTGGAGATGGCCTCGCAGGGTTATATAACAGAATGGGCCTTCAAAGGATCGCAACTCTTTTACTCGAGATGCCACGCCCGGGTACATACAACCAAGGTCGACCGTACATATGACTTCAATGTTGTAATGGATGTACTGTCAGATGTACTTACCTGATGTTCTGGTTCTGGCTTCCTCCCCAAGCCCCCATGGCCCCAGGCCCCAGGCCCCTTAAACCTTTCGGGTCATTCCTCCCCCACATTTTTGCTATTTACCAGGTACGCGTGCTCGGGAAGTACCCCTTGCCCCTCGTTCATACCCGCCTCTGTCTCCACCAGCAGCACCAGGCAGTCATTCCCGCTACTATGTAAACTGTGGTCCATCAAAAGTGTCCAACCAATTGGGTAACGTCCCCTACAAAGTTCTGGACAGCCACCGACCCTTCTTTTCCTTTTTCTGTCTCTGTCTTGCCCCAGCTCTTCAGGTCTGCTTCGCGGCCTTCCATGTTCTCGTTCTCGATCTATTTTTGGATCAAAATGTCTTGTGTATTTCTTCTTATTCCGGTGTCCACTTCGTAGCTGTGTTGGCTGCATATTATGTCTCTTATTTTATTACTTTTAACCTTGGGACTCTTTCTTGCGCGGCCCCAATCAGAATCTTCTATTTTCCTTCCGTCACAGACCTAGACCCGGACCTGGACCTAGACCTACAGTTACCTGGGGCTGACCGTTCAAAGAACACAGGTTTGGCCTCCGGCAATGCCGATTCCATCTGATGTCCTATAATTCTTCGACGAGGTGCGGCATGCCGTTGAACTTGGCTGATTTTTGGCAGCCAAGCCTGTCGGCCGTCGTCGACACTTTGCCCTTTTCTGATGTTTCCTTCACGATGGCTTCTGACTGGACGGCGCTACTGTCCAATTCAGCTCCAGTGGACCCGGCATCGACCCGATCGCTGGTACACCCGGCACCACCCCGGCATGTGCTTCGTTTCAACGCCGTGGTCTGTTTTGAGTCAATGACCTTCACGACACCGGTCGAGGCCTGCCACTGGGGGAAAAGCTTAGCAAAACAGCGAGCGCAAAGTGTGGCTCCTCCGTTTATTGCCATATTAGAGATGTACATGTGGTCGGCCTGCGAGCCAGACGCCAGATTAGACGAGGTAGGTGAGGTATGTACATATTTGTATGGCTAGACCGGCTTGGAAGCATTGATATCCCTACCCGGCTTGCAGCCTCTTCAGCCCCTGAGGTTTGTCCACTTTACCTATCCCTATTGATTCCTTCGCAAGTGCAAGCCACATCCAATTATTTCCCGTCTAGCCAGCATCGTGGCATCAACCACCATTCAAAATTAATTCCACAGCGTCCTCGGGAGGCTTTATGGAGTCGTGTGTGCGGCGGACTGGAAAACACGGCCGTCACTGCGCTGGCTGTGCTCAGTGCTCAGTGCTGTAAATTGGTTCTAGGCCCGGCAAGAAAAGGGAGCCCTTTTTTTCAACCACGAGCGCCCGTTTAAAAAAAAGGCCCTGTATTCCCCTTCTTTGGTGAGGCGGCCAGCGGAGTCGGGCATTTCCTCCGTGAGAACCGCCCTCACAGTCATCAAAACATTCGGTTTTTGCTTGCCTTAGCCCAAAAGTCTCCAAAAAAATAGAAATTCCCAATCAGTTTTTGCTCTCGTGCCATTCTGGAAGAGCCCCTACTGCATGACAATTCTTGGTAGAGCAGGATTTATGACCCAGGCCCGGCCCGTCGCCACCGTCCATCCCATCTAGGGACCCTAGATATCCGAGCTGATACATCCGCCGTATACGCGTTGCGGTCCGGTCCGGCGACCATCCTTCAATCCCAGACGGCAAGTATCCCGCGCCTGATCTGCATTCAACTCACTCCTCCGGGTTCGCGCTGCTTTTTAGAGATGGTCGTGCTTGGGCACAACTGTAGCACTAACTCGTCGTCTGTCATGTGCTCGGTCGACAGATCACTTTTCTCGATCGACCTCGAACCCGAGGCTATTTCCTCGATTGTCAACTACATCCCCTCCGCCGGTATTTTAAACTGTAGAGGATGAATCCCGAGAGCACTTCGAATAACTCAAGCTCTGCTGGACCAGCGACGCCCAACAACAGCAGAAAGGAGCGGGGTGCTATAGCAGCCCAGGTATCTCGTTATTTTTCCCTCTCCGTTTTGAAACTCCACATTTTAACAATTCCTTCAGGCCTGTGAGTCTTGCAGACAGCGCAAGCAAAGATGTAGCGAGGAGAGGCCAAAATGCGCTACTTGTCAGGTCAGTAATCGAAGCCTTTCATATCAGTTCGGAATCTCTACCGAGAGCACTCGACCCTTGAGAGAGAAAAAAAAAAAAAGGAACTACGCCGAAGTCGTACAGCTCTTGTCTGCTTCTCAATGATACTCTTAGTGGCTCGTCCAAGTCTCAAGGTAGACATTATAACTAACAGCGAAACGTGGAATAGCGAATGAATGTAAGATAGACCGTCTCGCCCGGTGCGTATCTTTTACTAACTTCGTCAGCTGGAATGCAAATATCGAGAGCCTCAACCGACCAAGTACGTATCGTCCGAATGCAACTTGTACCCTCCTCGGATGCATTCGACAGAAATCCCGAGCCGAGTTATGTTGCACAGTAAAGTGCCGGACAGCACTGACGAGCTACAGGAAAGACAAGACCCTTGTTGAGATATTAGAGCGACTGAAGAACCTCGAGGGAAATTTGAGGAGCCTAGATGGGAAGGTCGATAGCCTCAATTCTCGAGGCACCCTTCCCCTGTCCATTTATGGCCCTCTCCACACCAATACTCCCCCCGCGGCACTAGATGCTAGCCGGTCTAGTTCGTGGCCTGCCGCAAACATCCATCTTCAACCCCCAGCAATCCCCCCGGCTTCGCCTCGAGACGTCCAGTATGTATCTGCTACCCATAAGATGCTCTCTTGGCCCTTCATACAACAGATCTTTGAGAACAAGAACTCCAACAGCGACCTACCACGCTTAGAAAAGGACGGTGCAGCTATGCTTTTGGGCCTACAGGGCCGGACTGCAACTCTACCAACGAGCATTTACGATCCCGTTGACCTAAACAGCGAGGCATCATCTATTCCTTTGCAGAGTGCTCCTGGAAGTCAAGTAGAAGGAATGCAGACTGGCGGGTTGAGTATGAACTGGGAAACGATGCAGCGACTTTCTAAGTCGTACTTCGACACGTTCAACTTGATATATCCAATTATGGATCGACAATTATTCCAAGCAGAAATATTACCCGCCATCGCCGGCCACGGTTTTGACGAGAGTAGCTCTTCGACGTTAGCATGCCTGGTATTCGCACTGGGCGAAGTCGCTATAAGCGCTGTGCAAGGCGCTCCTACAGCAGTAAGTCTATTTTGAACAGCTTATTAACCTTTCCCCTTCTGCCTACCTATTATCATATAGTTCGCTGAGTCTCCTGCGGTACTTGGACATATCTCGGCTAACACTCGCTCTCCTTTCTGCAATTATCGAAAAGCCTACTGATTTAGTAACTACAGACATATAAGGGTCGCCCTAGCGGTATAAGGGGAGGGACTCTAGAGAGACCACCAGGGCTATTATTTTTCAACGAGGCTAGGAAGCGGATGGGATTCAATCTGA